TAATTTATTTTAAGTATTGAAATAATTCTAGTTCATATTATATATAAGCTACATCTATTCCGTAGCTGACTTCCTTTCTGTGGAATACACTCAGGCACAATTTCAAAAGGCCAAACTCCAAGTCCAGTCCCTTTTTTCATTGGGAACTGTCAACAAAACAATCTCATGTTTTCTACCTTCTGCATGCTTCCCATTCAGTTTTCTAACATAATCTTATTTGTTTTGTGACCTCAGATGTCTCAGCATCATCCAGTATTATAACTAAGATGTTTTAATACATAGTCTTATTGTCTCATATGAATAGTCCCACAGTGATCATCTGAGAACTCTTTTTTAAATTCAAAAACCATCCATATATGAAATAACTTTGTCTGAAAACCAGAAAAACACCACATATGGAGGTCAAATATAAATGCCATGTATCAGTGAAGTAGACAAAATGCTACTTGGCCTTATGACCAGGGAATGGCCCCAGCCCTGGGGTTTTTTAGCATAGATGTTGCTGTTAATGACTACACTCTAATGCTCTTACTTATACAAAGATATTAATCTGTTCTATTTCTGTAATTTTACTTAATTTAAGAACATCTTAATGTGTCTGTTGTCTGTGCTCTTATTTAATCAGCAGCCACTGTTCATATAAGCCTTTTATATTTTTGAAGATAGTGCAGTATTTGTGGTTTTTTCTAGCAGTGGTTTCCATTTTTAGTCGAAAATGCAAAATCAGGAATTCATCTTGCTTTGGGACTTCTTATATTTCTTCCTACGCTTTGGATAGTTTCGGTGTTTATTTATCTTTGAGACTCTGCATTGGTAACTTGTCCCACAGCTGTACTGCATTCCATACCTTTGACAGCCGAGTGGTCTCTGCATGATCCATGGGTGAAACTGTATTCAGTCTCTGGTCACAGACTCTTGTAGAAGTTCTGTTTTATCTTTTTAATTGTATTATAACTTTCTTGACTAATACTGACTTCCTGGTGCTTGTCAAGGTGCTCTCATTTTTTTGCTGACCATGGCTTTTTTGCCCTGTTATGGATAGTCTAACATGGTACTTCTTGAGTACTTCTTGAGTACTTAGCAAGCATGTTTTACATGTATGGAGATATCTGCCATATTCATTAGGTCCAGCATTACTGCTAAAACATTAGTTTAATTTTATACAACTGCTCTAATGGTTTTGCATTGCTTCTACTGTACATTATTCTTCTGCTGCCTGTTTTTTCCATTTTTCTTGGGAAACTTTGCATCTGTCAAATGCAAAGAAAAGAGCAACTGGTGTGATGTGAAGGGATTTGATAAGAAGAGTAAAGAGACTACAGCTAGGCTATGCAAGAAGTTCTGTTTTCCATCACCTTTATGGTACACCCAGAGAGTAGATTTAGAGCATAGTCAGCATTGAATCCTCCATTGTCCCAACAGCTGTGGCCTCACAACACAAAACACTTCTGGAAATCACCACCCAAGACCATTGGAACCCCACCTTTACAGATGAAGAGGAGCAGTATCCTAGCTCTGCTAGCAAGGGTAAAGCAATCAAGCATTTCAGATAATGCTCAGATTTCTAATATAATTCAGTGAAGTGTGACACTCGGGGTGCAGCTGTTTGTAATTCCCATACCATTAGCCTCAGCTTATCAGTTCAATGTAAACCCTTTACACTGTTTGTACTAGAGCCCTCAAAGGTGGCATCTGTAACATTCATCTGTCATTTAAAGTCTATCTTACATATCTAATTTCTTGCTACTTTTCCTCACATTTCTGGTATTTTAAAATTTGCACTGCCAGTAGTGTGCAATAAAACTGAGCAGACTGTAACTTTTGGTGAGAAAAAAAATCCCTTTTTCCACTTCAAAAATTCTATTGTAAAATCTGAAGACAAAAGAAAAAAAAGGAATCTAGTGTTTTCAAGACATAAATTGTCCTATGAAGGCTAATATATTATCTCCAGATGAACGTGAACATTTTGCTATCAGTGTTAGTGCCAGTAGCCAACTGAGATACCAAAATGTTCAATTCTAAAATCTTTTGTAGGCAAAAGCTTACAGAGTGCATTCTCAAGCTATTTTTCTGTATCTTTCTGGTTCTGAGATTGTTTTGAACAGCAATTTATACAATTGGCATTAGAACAGGTTCTGTAATCACACAGAAATGTTTTTTGTGATAACTTCCTTTTAGTGGTGAAGTATTGTTAGATCAGTTGTATTCATACATTTATTAATATTGACTCTTTTTTGTGAGATAATATATATGTACTAGGTTTAATTTAAAAATAATGAACTACATTTACATGAGTGCTGTCTTTACAAATATTTCATTGCCTGAATGTGAAGATGAATGTTCCTCCAGTTTTTGTCTTCTTGGGAAATAGCATACTTTCTCTCTCTGGTAACTTATGACATATGTAACATATTCTTTGCATGCTCTGAATAAGGACCTTAGCTTTACTTTTATATACCACTTATGGAATTGTTTGATACTCAAGGCAAATATATTTCCAGCTGAGTTCTTATGCTCATCTTAGATGTATCTTTTCTTGATGTATCTTTTCCAAACCTTCATTAGAGCATCTCTTATGGTGGTGGTACTTCACCTGATTTCTGACTGCGTCTTCTGCTGTGTAAACAACAGCAAGTTAAAGAGCAAGCAATGAATTAATTTTATTGGTAAGAACTTTAATTATTATTGAGTTCAAAATAAGTATGCTTATCTACTTATAAGAACCTATTTATTTAATTCATCCAATCTCATCCAAATCCAAGAAGAAATTTACAATTTCCTTAGGGCCAGTTTTGTAATTGTGCAATTGAGATAACTCAAAAGAGAAGGTTCATCAGTGTTTTACTTTAAAAACCCAGAATACACAAACTCAGGAGTTAAGTTTGTATTAATAAATATGATGTAGAGATGCTAGCTGTTGTTTCAGTTGAGCTCTTCTGGTTCTTAGATATCTTTTATCTTCAACTGGTCATTGGGATCCTTTCTAGTGTACTTAAATCTTCTGCTGCTCCTGGTGATGCTTTTGTGTGATGGGGTTTCCAAAGGACTTCTGTTTTCTTTCATCTTTCATTTCACATGAAATGCAACAACAACAGGAAAAAGCCAAAATGCAAAAGCCAAACGTGGTTGTTATGTAGACCATGATGACAAAGAAAATATGACAATGTGTATTTTGATCATTATTGATTCAATCACAATCTTACCATCACTAGTTACAAGTGAAAATGAAAAACATCAAGGACCAACCCAACATCCACTATTACACAGCGTTCATTCTGGAGAGATCAGTCAAGAACAAAATCCTGCAAATACCACTGGCAGTATTGAACAACATGAATTTACTACTGCAGGTGAAAATTATTTTGGAAAGGAAACTTCTACAGGTAATATTATAGGTCACATTTTAGTAAATTTTCAGGGTTCTCTAAAGATTTCATTTTGCTAACATTTTTGCATTCTGAGACAGTAACACAGGTTCTGTGAACAAACTTTAGCAATTTTGATATTATATAATTATTTTTTAAAATTACTATATTCTTCAGACTTTTCCCAGATGTTTCTCTTTTATTTGTCTTGCATGTCAAGACCTTTAGTAGGTTAATTCTGTAACTGTCTCCTATGTTTTGTGTTGTGTGTCATGCAGTCGCAAGCTGTCTACCAGAGTTTTGTCCACAGGAAACAGAGAAGGTTTAAATTAAAAAAATATAAGGTGTTAAATTTTTCACTCCTTTGGGAACTGTGTTCACTTCCCTGTTGCAAGCCATTATTGGACCTGGGATTTTTTTTTCCCCAGTTTTTGTTAATCACAGTTATAGTGAAAAAAAAAAATTATCTGGAGTGTCTACTCATTCCACTTTTGAGCTATGGCAAGATGATACTGGTGATGAAAGGAAGAAAACAAAGCATAATGTAGAATAAGAGAGAGAGTTCTCATTTTCATTGGTTGAATAAATTGAAACATGAAAGATCAAATTATACTGTGAAGGTGGTAACTGAAAATGGATACATTTTAATTTTTGTTCCTGTGAGCATACCAAACTTATGAGTTAATGACAGATGTGCTGTACTAAGCACTGCCAACAGTGAATGCACCACAGTCATCATCTGCTCTTGTGAATTATCAAATACAGGTCTCTGATAATATGTTATACTACACTACTGCAGCAATACATATTGGCCTAATTGCAATTAAAATTGTAACAGTGTGGCAAATTTTCCTTTTTTCCTCCTCTTATTGGGTTGAAGGGGTTAAGAAGATTTATACTTTTTAGACAATTTGTGTACTCTTTTGCTATGATTGTGTAATAAAATATACAGGTTAGTTGACATGGATAGTGTTTTTCTAAATAACTACAAGATCAGATATTCTCCAGCTGAATGCTGTCTTATTCATTGTATGCACCATTCACAAATCTGAACCATGACCTAGCATTAACTTTTGTCACACCTCTTTGTCTGTTTTCCTGGAAATGCTGCAACTAATGAAACAGTGAAACTTTGAGGGCAAGAAATTGGATGTAGTCAACACACTCAATTTATATGTTTGAAATCTTACTGATGGGTCATATCCTTGCAGTTACTTATGTCTTCAAGGTTTTTAATTCTGCATCAGTGAATTTTGCTTTAATATTCAACAACACAAATTTGACAGCAAGATTCAGAGAAATATTTTTGAAAAACAGTAAGACACCTTGATTCTGAAAAGCATATGCTCAGATTGAGGAAGGAGTTGGTCCTACTAATGACAGTAGGCAGCATTTCTAAGTATAAACCAGGATGAGAAGCAAATCTGCTTTACTTCTCTTTGCCATTAAATGTAGTAGACATGTGAGCAAGACCTGTCATAGAGACAAGAACTGAAGAGAAGAATAATGTGAGAAATGGATCTTTATATACTGAGTTCATAATTGCTTCACCATCATCATAACAGCTATGGTCCCCAGCCATGGGGCCAAACAGAACAACTCAGAGCAAGACCCGTTGGTGTATCCAGGCTGGGATGAGGGAGAGGATTATGCCACACAGCCTGCTGTAACGGATAGAGATACTGCTTCCAGAGAGAGCCATCATGAAAGAGAGTCTTCCACTACAGGTACTAGTAATATTGTCTGTTATGTATGTTCCAACACTTCTGTCTCTCAGATGGCCTCTCCTGGAAAGATATTGCAAGAACTTGTAGACAGGAGTAATCACTGATCTCTTAAAATAATATCATAAACTGTAGAGTAATTAATTTTCTCTGCACCCTGTCTGGATGGTGGTGAAACAGAAGATTTAAATTTTAGCTCTTGTTTTTTACTTGCCAACACCACTTATAGAGTTTTTAATTCCTTAGTGAAGCACGGCTGTGAAATTTCATCCAGCTCATTATGTAAGTTATATTATTTAGTGCTGCCAGACTGACTTTATCATGAAGTCAGATCCATACTTACATATATTTTTACCTCAAGAGGTTAATCCATACAATTTTTGAATATCACACCTGGAGAAAGAGTGTTCTTTTCATAGACTTTATTGAAATATTTATCCTTCTGCGTCATTCATAGAATGATGAAAGGCAGGAATCTATAAAACTAGCATGACACAGCATCATGATGCATTTTCATATAACATAGTATTTATAACATTAAAATAATATTCTAAAAACATGGTGTGATCTCTTCTTCTGGAGATCTCCCCTCTCCATCTGCCACTGGAATCTGTGTATTGCTAAACACCTTGCTCCAAGATGCTGAGCTTAAATGTGGAGCTTAAGGGTCTCTCAGAAGCCAGTGACAGTGTGGAGGAAGAAGCAGAGGCCTTCATGTCTTCTTGACTGTCGGTATTTCAGAACTGATGCCTGTAAGGTGAAACACACTGTAACAGCAAGTGACAGTGCTGAGGAAGCTGAGACTCTGTAGGTAGCCTGGGATGCAGTCAGGAGATCCTTCTGACTGCTGCCTCTGTATTTCCCTGGGCCCACTGCCCTCGGGAGTCTTTTTGATTAAGCACAAAAGCGGGCGAGAACAGCAAATGGGTATGTCTGAGCAGAACTGTGAGAGCGCAGTGACGATGCACACAAGGTCTCACTTCTCTGCCCTTTTTGTGGAGTGGAAAGGGTAGCAGTGCTTTAAGGGGAGCAGAAGGCTTGGGATGGTAATGGGAAGGCCACAGCAGCACACACATGGAATGCACAGCTATTATATATAATCTGTGTTTAAATCATCTGTTATTAAACCATGATAGCAGCTGTTGCCTCTCCTGATGAGACCCACCACAAAGAGCCAACTCAACCACCTCGGCCTTGGGATTATGAACCAGAAATGAGCACTGAAGGCATCATAAATCTCACGGATGCCCCTGGGGATGAAGATCTCCACAGGACCACAGCCACTATGATCAAAGATGGTAATGACCCTCCTCCGATGGGTTCCAGTAAAAATAATGGATTGTACTCATTTCTCATGTCTGGTGTGAAATGAGACATTATTTCTTCTGAAACTGACTTCTTTCCCTGTCTTTCTCATCTTCAAAGTGTGCATTCTTGTTGTGAAATTGCAGTGCAAATGCTTTTATAATTTTGTTGCATGTGGATATCCCAACAAGAATTCCTGTCTCTTTAAGGATATTTTTTTTCCTGTGTGCCCTGTTTCTTATGTCCCCTGACTTGGCTCAGGTGTATTTTTAACTGAGAAAACAGTTGCTTTTGGAGGTAGTTGGTAGTGTAAATGTTTGTTTTTCATGTCTGGTCATTTCTGGTCTTAATATTTCAATATATTCTCTTAATACTGTAAAATTTGAAATAATTTATTGGAGTTTGTTAATGTAGTTCTGCAAGGTTCTCACTTAAATTCTCAAACTCTGCATGTTATCAATTTAAAATTGTCTTCATTCAAAATACTTGGATTTTTTTATTCAATACAATAAGGTATTTTTTATCACACTGCAGTTGTTTGGAACTTCTTGCATCTTTTCTTCCTGCACTTTCTAGAAAAGACATTCTAAGGAAAAATTTGCTGTTATCCTTTTGCTTTTCTTCCTCAAAATCTGTTTTTATATGGATTATTTAATCCTCAACATTTAGGATTTGACAGAGAGCTATGAAAGCTAAAAATTGTGTGGATTATAAATACAGTCTGTAGATTAAAAAGCTTGTGTTCTCTTTCATCTGCTCATATTTTCTAAATATGAGTGAGATTCTGTAAAGTTTCCCAGTTCACTGTTTTCAAGCTTTATGAGGTTTGAAAGGTCAGTTGCAAACATGAAAACTCAAGTATGATTTTGCAATTTGTTCAAATGTTATTAATTGTCATTCCAATCTGATTCCTGTGTAACAACAGGAATTCTTATACTCATCCTGAAAATAATATTGCTGTTTTCTCACTTCTAAGCAGTATTCACTAGGTATTTTCAAAACCAACATTTTAGGCTGCATTTTGAATATTAGTGAAGGAAGAGACAAGAGTGTGTCATTTGCAAAGGATATTCTTTGCTTGTGGCTTTGTTTTGTTTGTTTTGTTTTTCTTACTGCATAGTCCATATAAGCAAATAAATTAAAAAGGTAGAGTATACTAAAAATAAAGAGGGAGTAATATGTAAGGTGCATTTTTAAAATGTTTTTGAAGTTAACTTGGCCATCACCACAACAGTCACAGCCTCCACTGACATTCTGGCACCAGAAGATATAACCCAGGGAGCGTGGGCACCTCACCTTGTGGTAACAGCTGCTTCCTCTCCTGAGGGTGCCCACCACGAAGACACAACTCAGACACCTCTGCCTTCAGATGATGAACGAGGACAGGGCACTGAAGGCATCACAAATCCCACGGATATGCCCAGAGATGAAGTGCTCCACAGGACCACAGCCAGTGTGACCAAAACTGGTAATGACTCTTCTGATGGGTACCAGTAAGAATAATGGATCATACTCATTTCTCATGTCTGGTGTGAAATGAGACATTATTTCTGCTGAAGATGACTCCTTGCACTATCTTTCTCATCCTGGGGAATCTTCATTCTTAGTGTGGACTTTCAGTGAAAAATCTGTCATAGGATCTGTGAACGAGGCATAAGAGGCTCCTTGCCGGTGCACTTGGCGGTTTCTAACCTTTGCTGAAGCGTGTTTTTGGGTGATCTCCCAAATGTTCTGCAAGACATGCACTTTGGTGATTCTGAATCCCCAGCCTCATCTTTCTTTCTTGCGCATCAGTGTGATCAGGCTGGATATGCTTTGGCACCCTGACTGGTGTGGTGGAGGTGCTTTGGCAGGTTAATCAGCTGACTTGGTCCTGCAACTCAGCAGCAGCACCATCACTGGGCAGTGGTGTCCCAGTGGTGAGGGCAGTGCATTCATAGAAGAATGACTTCCCTTAAATTCTGCCATCAGTTTCTTACTTCTCTTCCCCTGTGTACTGCCAGGAAAGACTGACAGAGCTGAGGCCACTCACTCCTGAGTTCCAGGGTCAGGTTGTTGCTGCTAAAGTCTCTTCTAAAGGTCTCCCCTTTCCATCTGTCACTGGGCTCTGTATATGTTGCCAGCATCTTGCTCCTACATGCTGAGCATAGATGTGGAGCTTAAGGGTCTCTCAGAAGCCAGTAACAGTGTGGAAGAAGAAGGAGAGGCCTTCATGTCTTCTCTCTTCCTTCTGTACTTTGCATGAGGAAGGTGAAGGTGCTTTCTGGCTTGCTGTAGCCCAGGAAATTATATTGGTGGTGGTTTTTGTGAGTGCTCCCTGATCATGCCACCATCATGGCAGTTGTAGAATCTGTGGATGATGCTGACCTAGAGAAAGCAACCAAGGAGCCACTGACACCTGGCACTGCACCTGGAAGGGACGGGGAACCAGCAAACACCACAGATGGTTTCCATGTCCATGGGATGCCTGGAGTTTTTTCAGACATTGAGGACCGTTTTATTCCCTTGCAGACTCCGCTTACTACCAGTAAGAACAATGTATTATAACAATTTTCATTTATCCGTCAGTAAGTTATTGTGGACAATGGCTATTTTCTAAAAATGTGTACTAAGCATAATTGTAAATTGTTGTCATATTATGATTTCCTTTTTGGGTTTTGTTACTAGTTTTAACCTGCTGATAAGATGTCATTAATGGTATGTCTTTCTAGTAAAAGCATTAGCTAAAGGCTGAAAATAGTATTTCGCAAATAAGCTTTTCTTATATGCTGATATCAGCATGTGGTAACACAACTGTTGAAATGAAGAAGTGCAAGCTTTCTGCTCATGCCCATACATTTGTGAGAGCATTTTGTCTTTCTTTTTTTCCTGGGCATGAATGACAGCTATGTAACCCTTAACAATCTGTCACTTTCCCCCCATTTGCAACCTTCTAAATTAGTTGAATATGTACAAAAGAAAGGTAATTCTCTGTAACACCATTTTTTCCCTAGCTATATGTGCTGTTGGCATCTTTCCAGTGATTAATTGTAGCTGTTACTGGGCTGTAACTGACTTTTCATTTGTGAACAGCCTTGTTTTTCAAAGGGTTATTCTTCTGATGAAGTTAGTGCAGTTACCAGTGTTTGCTTATGATACTACATGCCTTTGATATTTTTAATGTGTGGTCACATACCAATAATATGGGAAATTAAGGGATTTTTCCTTATTCCCAAATGTAGCTTCCATATGAATGACCATGCTAACAGTAAAAGGTTTTGTCCCAATTCAGCTAATCCAAAGACTGTTTTCATGCACTTTCTTGGAAGTTAGTGGAACCATTCCAGAGTAGAATTTCACCAATGCCCTGTGGACATTCATTACCTATAAACAAGATTACATACCTATATTTTTTACAGCATTATACAAAAAACACTTGAAAGGTGATTATTTTAATAATTCATTAGTATTGATTAATATATTGTGCAGTAGAACTTGGGCTAATTTTTTTTCAAGAATTTTGTACAAACCAGTAAATTCAGCTCTAACAAAATTGCCTGGTTATAGTATTTTGACATAGGCACAGCACTATAAATGCAAAGTACGTATTTGTCAGAATTTTATTGGAAAGATAAATCTGTTTTAAATAATGTCTTCCTAATAAAACTATTTTCTTTCATTTCACAGGCCCTATTCTCTTAATTCATTTAAGCTGCCTTTTTAATTTTATATGCAGACATTACAGACTGTGAAAAAATGTTTGCTACCTTTATGTTTTAAGCACATAAAACCTGTAAGAACTGGTTTGAGTCTTTTTCAGTGGGAATATTTTTCTCAGTGGGAACATTTTCAGTACCCTGGCAAAAGGCTCAGAAGGCCATTTTCTCTGAACTCTTCCTTTTGTCATTTACCTTCTCTTTGTGCGTTTTAAGAACACAGTAAACAGGAATTACTAAGGCACTACCATTGTTATTAAAAAGTATATTGAAGGGTTCATTCATTTGTAATGTTGCCCAGTATAGGTGAAATGGAATGGAAGAGATTCAGGAATGTATTGGTAAAGGCCTTCTCTGATCAAATGAATGGTTTGATGTACTGTAACACTTTTTTTTTTTCACTTGCTTTTTTTGTACAGCAATGTTTAAGTTGTGGTCAGACATCACTCTAAGTGTCAAGCATCCACAGAATAAAAAATCAGTCCACTGAAAACAAAAAATAATTTCCCATAAAAAAAAAAATGAAATCTTGAGATCTTTTGAGGTTTCCTCCCTGCCACTTGCAAGCAGCTCCCCAGAGCCAGAACAGCAGGGAACGTGGCTGACCCTTGCTGCTTCTTCTCAGTGCTCAGGGGAGCAGCAAACGTAGCAGGTTTTGGAGCACACAAATTTTAATAAATGTCTGAATGCCTTCCTAAGGGGTTTTGTGGTGAAAAAGATTGGCATTTTTCAGAGATGATACAAAGCACTGAAAAAAAAAAATCTGCTGAGATGTAGTGTAGACAAGTTAGTAGGTCCCTCTTGGTCAGCTTTCTTTGCTGCTAGATCAAGACTCTTCATTGTTGAATTTGTGTTCTATCCTTTGTTGTGAGATAGCACCAAACAACAAGCCAGTCAATAAGTTTCTTGTTAATAAAAATAATAAAAACATCTGGAAAACTCATGAACTGCTTGCTGGATATGCTTCACAGAGGGAATAAAACATGCTTGTCTGTTTTGCATTTGCCAGCTGTTACTAGGAAATGAGATCAGAAATACTGGACAGAAATTAGTTGTGTGTCAAAGAAAAATAACTTTACAGCTGATTAGAGTTTAGTTCCTTAGAGTCTGGAATAATTCAGAGAGGTGGAGATCTATAATATTTTTTTTTTGCAGTGATGATGAAGCAGTATTCCCAAATGAAATTACTGTATCTATAGTCTGCTGATAATTTTAGACTTGGGATACCCTTATGGCAATAGCATGTGCCAGGAATATAATTGCCTAAACGTTTAAGCAGTATGACCAGCTTAGAAAATATAAGAGACTTATTTAAGATTTAATACCATCTTGGAATCAAATTACCCAACTTCTTAAAAAGGGCAAGAGTATCCAGATCTAAGTTTGCAGAGAACAATTTTTTCTATTAGGAAAAAAATATTTTTAATTTTTAGAGTCTCACTCTGTAGCTCCCAAAGTCACAATCATTCAGAGAACTATTGTTCAATTTTATGACAGCATTATAGTTTTAGGTGTTCAGTTTTATCCTGCGTCAGAATAGAATTGAAACACACGAGACAAGAGAGGAAAGCCATTAATTTTTCTTCTCAAAATAATAAATTAGCTGTAGTTCAGATGAGTGTCATGCTTATAGTCTATGTGATAGTTTTCAGTATAAACACTCATTAACTGCTTCAGCATGGACTTTCCAGAGTTTGATTTTTACATTGTTTAAGTTGCAGTCTTCATACGTTGCTGTTAAATATCCATCAAGCAGATTTGGCCTAATGGATGGGATGTTTTTATTCTTTAGGCTCTACCCAAGGACCACACAAGGGACATTATGAATCCACTACATCCTCTGGAGAGACTGCCACAACAAAAATAGATTCACAACCAAGGTCGGCCCATATACCAGGTGGGTCAAATGTTTTAAAAATCCAAGGACAGAATTGTCTTCATATGAACTGAAGTAAGAGATGAAAATGAAGGTCTAATGCAGTTGTTCAGCCTTTGTTCTGAATCAGAAAATATTAAGCATTTGACAAGTAGTCTGAAAGACAGAGCATGTTTGACTAATAATTTTTCATCAATATTAAGATGAGAGAAATCATGCATTTGGGGAATAGGATTAAGATTCAATTAACTTTTATAAATTGAAATGAAATCAGGCAAAACTCAGTAAAGTTATATGCATAGTATCATATCCATGAGAATGTTCAGAGAAAATCACATCTGAGACAAGCTCTCCAGAAGAGAGCGTGCAGAACTAAAACAGGATAAAAAGAAGCCAGCACCATGATACAGCTGCAAAAGAATGCAAATATATTCTGGAACTTATTAGTGATAAAATCATTTTTAAAACAGAGAAAGTAATTATCCCACTGTACTTAGGCCAAGCAAGTCCAGAGCTGAAACTCTGTGTTCAGTTCAAGGCATTGCATTAGTCACATGGGAAAAAAAATGGAGAAGAGTACACATAAAATTTTGGGAAGGTAACCTTTGGAGCACCTTTTGAAGAACTCATCATTTGCAGGGAAAACTGAAGGGAGATATAAGAAGAGCATGCTACGAAAATAATGCTTATCAGTTTTTCACCATGGAGTACTAGTAATTAACTAATTAGAAGAGATAATTTGTTGCAAATTAAATGTATGAGCCTTGTTAAACAAGGAACAGTTGTTTCAAACAAAGAAAATACAGGACATAGCTCTTGAGAGAGGACCCCCATCTGTAATGGCAGCAGAGCTGTAATGGTAGTAGAGAGGAAGCTACTGGGAAGGTTGTGAAACCTTCTTTATTAAAAATGTGCTAAAACTCATCTTGCTTCTGTGCCTGAGATTGTAGGTGTGTCATGCTAAGCCTTTTCTTTTGCCATTGGGGTAAATCAGTGAAACAGCTCCTCTTCACTTATGCCCACCAAAGTGCTTGCAGGTGACAACAATGATAGAGTATTTAATCTGAGCTGGCCTGTGTATGGCTGAGTGATGAAAATGTCTTTGATTTGCATGGAAAGACTTCATACACCAGACAAACATTCACGGGAGCTAGGAAAAGAGTGTGACAGCTGAAAGGAAGTAGAAGAGATGGTGTTTCTGCAGTTCTGTGAAATGGCAAACCCTCATTAGCTACATTCACACGCTCTCTTCCCCTCCCTCACCTGTCCCTGCAGACTGGCTGATCATCGTTGCTGCTCTGGTGGTGCTTGCATTGATCCTTGCAGTGTGCATTGCTGTTAACAGTCGCAGAAGGTAAGGCCACCCCTTTACATTTCCAAAACACACTGCCTTACTTTTTCCTTCCTTGAGAGTCTCCAAAGCTTTCTCAAAGAGCAGAGTAGCAAACCACAGGAAAGAGCATCCTCTGCAAAGTTCTGTGGCTTGTAGTGTGGTGACCCAGGTCACCATGTCCTGCACAGGTGCCTTCACAGTCACCTGGAAACACTCACATGAAGTCAGCCCCTATATGAACTGTTTAATCTTTCAAATGGAAACTAACTCTGTGTAGATCACAGGAAATTAATTACACTCTCTATTAGTTATTAATGGGAAAACCATGTTCACAGAGAGCGGAAGTTGTAAGATGAATATAGACAGTAACAACCACAGGATGAGCCAGGAATAATCCTCCACCATTAAAGTGTTTGTGTGCAGTGTGAAGGGCTATCTCAGACCATCACAACCTGTTACTCGCTTTCTTCTGAGCAGCTGCCAATATCACAGCTGGCAGCCACAAGCATATATGCTAACATTGCTCTCAGAGCTCTCAGTAGCTTTACATGCTCCATTTTACAGATGAGGAAGCCAAGGATGGAAGGAAATGCAGTGATCTGTGCAAAGTTAGCTGGGAAATTGGAAAAACCCTTGCCTGAAGGATGGGCTATAATATTTTTACCTCTTTCTTTTCTCTGGGGCCTGTTCTGAGGTTGCTTCCCAATTGTCTTCAACAGCCTTTTGCTGCTTGAATGTTAAGATTGAGCTTTTTAACAGAGTAACTATTTGCTACTTGAATGTTGGATTTTAACTCCATATTTTTCAGAATGACCATATAATATGTGGAGATTTTTGTGCAGGAAGCAGTGAGCACATTTTTTCCTAGTCTGTTGGCTGCAGAGCACTCTGAGCTGCTCTTTAAGAGGCTGTGGAGCTCCACAGCTCCTCACTGGCGTCTTTTGGCATTTTATGGCTGCAGAGCAGGAAATCATTCCCAAGGGTGTGTGTAGCATTAGCAGAGTGAACCAAGCTACTTCAGATAAAATCACCCTCATCTGTGAGTCAGTAGACATGAAAAAAACGGTATTTCAGAAGCATAATATTAAAATTGAACAGCCAGATTAGTCCTTCGGGGAAAAATATGCTTCATTTAAGAAGAAAGCACTTAAAAGTCCAACTTCACAGACATATTGTCCTTCTTAGGCATGCTGGGCTCTGCATATTCAATTTACACAAGGCTGTTTGAGGACAAGCAGGTTGCCCAGCACTGTGTAGCCAGAGAGTCATCTAAACAGTAAATCTGACAGCTGTGCAAGTGGTGCTTTTGTGCTATGCTGAAGGATACCCAGCCCATGATAACCAGTGCATCAGCTTTGGACTGGTGACTCTTTAAAAGATTGTGTGTGTGCGTGTTTTAATTCAGAGCTACATATAAGGTTTATTGGACAGCTCTACAGTGAGTGTAACTTTAAAAACACAGCACCTATTTCCTACCTGAACATCACAAGGAGCTCTGCTGCAAACAGCAGCAAGACTAGCTCTCTGTATTTCCTTACTGTTGGCTGGCTTCTAAGCTTGACATGCTAATACAAAAGAAAAAACAGTTGTCCTGTTAAACGAGATGAGAGCTTGATCCAGATTTCCTGCTTGTTTAAGAATTTGTGCATTTTCAAAGCTGTGGTCCCAAGCCTGGATTTTGAAGGTGTCCTCATAGTAGGGCTATTTACAAAGTTCATAAATGTTGATAAATTCAAATGATAGAAAAAAAAATTTCTAGCCTTCAGTAATGAATGTTATTGCTACATGTACTAACAGTAAATACAAATTACATAAGTGAGCTCCTGATAAATTTTATGCATATAATGATGGATGCTTTCAAAAATAAAATATGCAGTATGGAGAAGCTTTATGCTTTGTATGGTGTAAGTCTGCACTGGCAGACACAAGTTTAATTTTCAATCACCGTTTCCTAAATATTGACCTTCAGTTTTTTATTATTTTTGTTAGACTCTATTTGTAATATTTAATTTTTTTTCTTTCTAGATGTGGGCAGAAGAAAAAGCTAGTGATTAACAATGGCAAAGGGGCAGTGGAGGACAGGAAGACAAGTGAATTAAATGGAGATATCAGCAAATCACAAGAAATGGTGCACTTGGTTCATAAAGAACAGTCAAATGACCGAACACAAGCATGTGATGAATTCCTGACTGTTAATGAAACACAAAATCATCACGAGTTGGAGATGAAGACTGGAGTGTAATGGTACCACACTGCCAAGCAGATCAGGGCTGGGGAAACCAAAATCACGTGGAACTTGAACAGGAATTCACAGATGCACTGTGCTACTGATGTCTTTTGAACATAAGCATAAGTTCTGTTTCTTTTTAATCACTTTGCAATGATGCCTGAGTTTAAAAATTGACATGTGCTTTCTGAAATACACCCCCAAGAGTTGCATAATGCTTTCAGTTCCCAGTCCCTTCACAGAGGACTCTCACTGTGTCCTGGATGTTAGGAGGCATACAAGTTTACATCATTATTCCCCAGATGGAAGGTCTTCACTGTGTGGAGCTAACGAAGTATCCAGTCATTCCATCTTACAGATATTTAAAGTATTAAACATGCCATGGCACAGAAGTAAGTGAGGAAAAATGTCAAGAGTAAAAAAAATCAAATTTCAACCCAAAAGGCATCTTCTACAATGTCTGCAACAGCAGAATCCTTCAGAAATGCCTTCCAGCCAGGAATAGCAGTGGGTACATTGAGAATCTGCCTGGATAAACAAAAAGTGACATTTTATAATTATGTGTGGCTTGGTCTGCAACAAGAGAAACCCAGAAGGACAAAGTTTATTTATCTTTGTTTTTAAATATCTATGGACATAGTCCATATCTGTGGACAAGTCTTCTCTGGAGGGGTAATAAAGGCATGAAAACATGAGCTGAAACATAATAAACTTCTATTCTTTATTATCCTAGCAACCTGTACAATTATCCTTCCATTTCTGAAGTGTTCGTTGCTCTTCTCCCTCATTCATTGGTCCATGTTTGTGCATGTTTTTAATGAGCCTGTTAGTTAAGATAATGAATTAAAAAAAATGACCCCAGCTCTATCACATATGCACAAATCAAGCAATTGAGATCACTAGGGAAGCAGACAGTATTTTACTCCTGAAAATGGGTCTCTATATTCTGCTCCATTTTATTAAGGAGATGCTGAGCCTATTAAATTTTTTTCCCCTATAATTATTACATTATACAAGATTGCTGATATTATAAAAGTTGCTTTTCTACGATTTCCCTCATTTCCTCTGAATTCTACTTCATCTACATTTTTCCATCAGCTTTTTAAAAACACAAAAAAAGAAATATTGCTTGCATTTTGGTACCAGAAGTTCAATTTCTACAGAAAAGATAAAAGCAAATGAAAGGAAACTCTTCCCAGCCATGTAATATAGTAGAATAGCTGAGCTGCATTGTTACATGCTTTTGTTACATCCTTTTGTGTCTGTTATGTAAAGTATTTGTATTAAGCTATGATGCTGTGCATTATATTGATATGAATTGTCAAGAAAAAAATTATTTGCTACCAGTGATCTGTGCCATTTTTAAGAAAGCTTATTGGAATGGAGAGAGAATTGTAACTTCTAATTGGATTCCCCCCAGGAAATGAAGGGAAAAATCAGCCATGGGATGTGGATGGTCTGTAGCAGGGCTGTTCAGGAGTTCTGCTCACTGACCATAGCCCCTGTCTCTGAAACTCTTCGGCTAAAGTTTGTAATATTGTGTTCTCCAGCTGAAGCAGTTTGGAGGATGAACATTCAGCTGGCTAAATACTGACTTTAGCTAGCACTGATCTTTACTGGAACATAAAGCACAAGACTGTTGATTATATTTTTGAGTCACAGCCCTCCAGCAGTTTCCCATGTGCTTCATGGAAATGCTCAAGTGCCCTGGTATCTGCTGGCAGATCTCCTCAGGGCAATTTGCACCTGGGCAAAAAGTCTCAAGACAAGGTGATGTTTTAAAATACACATAGGATGTTTTCTGACTTTATGCAGGTCAGATATTTCATCTGTGAACAGATTTGTTTTTGTTCAATGTTTTTAAGCACACCTTTCTATTTGTCATTAGAAATCAAAATTATCTGCTGAAGGCTGTGTTTAAACTGCTGTTACGTACTCATTCCACTAAGTATGGAGATCCAGAGTAAGAATTAAAAATCTTTAAATCCTAACTGAATATAGGTCTTAGTGAGAAGGACATGTTTCACTGTCTTGGAGGCTGAACTTCTCTTTTAAAAAACCAAAAAATCGGTGTCACATCATTCATCTTCCTGTTCAGATGCTGAATGAAGAAGTTGGCAAACTTCTTCATAATTTATCTTATAATCAGTAGCTATAAAAGCACAGGCAACACTGGCTGAGTTCTTTGTATATTTTTAAATGAGAGATGCTCAAGAAGCAATGCCATTATTTTATATATGCTGATTCTTTCTAGGTTATGTCCTGTGACTTATGTGTAATTGTTTCATTATAGTTTCAAAACTAGATGGCCATTTCATATGTATAATACAGTACATATTTTTATTCATCTTGCTTTTATTATGAGGGTTTGTTTGTTGTGTGTATGTATTTTTATATAGAGCACTTGATATATTTGCATATTTATTTAACAGATTAATCAGAATTAAAGAAAATGCCATCTCTAAATTGTAACTAGAAATAGTATTGCTAAAAACACATTGGACTTTAAAATAAGCTTCCAAAATAAACCTGATTCCACATTGAGGATGAAATGTATGTCCAGCTGTTAGTGGGAGAGAAGTTAGTTAGTGGATAGTCATGTTGAGTGCTGTGATCATTTTTTCTGCTTGCAAAATCCAAGCCAGGCTGAGGTGAATGCTGTGTGACCTTGTGTGCTCTGCTGGCCTCCCCCGGGCTCCACGGATGCTCTGGGAGTTAGTGATGAGCTCAGCTTTACCCCAGAAGCAGACAATAGCTACAACAACTCGGTTCAGTTTAAGATTGACCCAGTAAGAACTTGACAACCATTCCTGGCTCACTGAATTAACAACATTTGAAGAGTGCAGCACCCAGCAAGATCCAGCCCTTCCTTCTGGGTTCTGACAGACAAATCAGCTGTGACTGACATATCTCACTGTGTCTTGGTGGATCCTTGCTTGGTGCCTAAGAAGAATGAGGATCTCTCCTAAAAATGCTAAGGAGCCTGCGATCAGCTTCTGTTATTCCTTTGTCTTAAAAAGTTTCAAATAAATGTGATCCAGAGCAGTGGAATACTGTCTAAAGAAGCAAGCATATTTAAGAGTCTCTGTATGTTTTATGGGAACGTGATATTTTCATGAAGCAATGCAGGCTGATTGTTTAATTTGTATTTTCTTAAAGTTCTGAAAAGAAATACTTGATTAAAGCAGAGAAAGGATTTACAGCTGTCATGTCTGCCTTTATGGATGTGAAACCCTTTTCACAATACCAGTTCCAAAATTGTACTTTTGCAGTTTTTCACATGGTAGGGATGTTTTTTGTGTACCCCTTGTCAACAACAACAGCCTCTCTACTAATTAGTTTGAAGCATTTTTCCTGCAATATTTTTAGGAGACAAATGCCAAGTGTCTCTTTAGCACATATCATTCTGCTTAGGGCTGGCCCTAATTATTCTTTCTGTAGATGAAGGAAATAAATCCTCTGACAACTGTGTTCTGCCTCCGCATACAAAGACACCAGGGTATTTTGTAAGTCAGCAGTTAATGGGTTTATTTTAAGCCATATTAGGCCATTAGACAACAATTATTTCTTAAGCTTTATTAAAAAGTTCAGGGGTCTAATGCCTCTGAGTTTTTGCAAGAGCTATGATTAGTGAAATACCAGCCCTTTTGGTAACCACAGGTTCTGACTATTTCTTCTCTGTGGAGGGGAAAAGGACAAAAGGTGGCAGGAAAAGGCTGTTCCCTGGGGCACGGTTCCAGCTGTGTGGGAGTGGGTGACAGAATTCCTGTTCCTTAAGGTGGAAAAAATTGTGCAAAGGTGTTTTGGGCATGAATCTGGGGGATTCAAGACAGAGGGAGAGCACAATTTCTAGGAAAGTATGTAAAGGGAGAGTGAAATTTCTGTACTACAGCTGGGAAAGTACCTTCAACACCCCCAGCACCCTGGCACTCAAATGTTTCACAACTCTGAGTAGGAAAAAAGAGCCTTTTCCTGTGAACCTCCCCATCTCCAAGTCATCCTCTACATCCACTACCTCATTTGCAAACTGAGTTTGAATTTTCCCCTGGTAGCTTATTTCTCATTGTTGCTATGCCCTGCTGCATGTGGCATCCCCCATGCTGGGGGCAAGCAGCTGTGGCAGTGAGAGGCAAAATTAAGCAAGATGAGTAACTGTGTTTTGTGCAGCACAGAGACTGCACTTTTTGTCTTCTCTTTCTCACCCCTGTGGAGTAAGGCTAGTAAAGGCAAGATTTCAAAAACATTTCTGAGAGGGACTGATTTGATTTTTATTTTTGCCTTAACATATACTACATGTGAGGTGAAAAATTACTACATGTGCTGAAAGCCCTAACACATGCCAGGTGTCAAGGATGCCTGGGAAAAAATGCCTGAGAAATGGAACTGTGGGAGCAGCCTTGGCAGATAAAAGCAGTGACTCTCTCCATCTCCCTTTTTCTCTCTCTGGTCTCTTTTCTATCCCACTCAGGTCAGAACCATATCCTTTCTCCATCAATAAATGGTTCTTGAATATTTGCTGCTTTTGGGCATTATTTTCATCCAAGAAATCTATCAAAATGAGTCCTCCCTGACTCCTCTTACAGTGGGATGGGACAATTCCACCTCTTGCTTATCTTCCTGTTCTGAAAGTGCAAGACTGATACAGATCTCACATTGGTCAAATGAGCTGCTGTGGAGGGGTTTTTAAAAGTTAAAACTGTAGAAGAGAATCTACCATCAAAGCAGCTCTCCTGACCTCAAGACAGTTGATTATTGTTAAAATGCAGGTAAAGTAAGGGCAGCAAAAGCTTTACCTATGCTTTAAACACACCCTTCCAATTTTGGCTGGATGGTTCCAGCAATCAATAGAAAGGTTTTGTCTGAGTGACACCTTCAAGGAGTCTCAGACTTTTTATTTAAAAAGTTTTATTAAAAGGAATTTATTTATTCCTACTCTACAGGCAAAAGGGTTTTGGATGAAAATGTGGGGGAATGAGACCACCTTTATATACATTCTCTGCCACCAAAAAGTATGCATTGAACACTGATGTGAATGTCTTTAGTTTTTCTTTAAAAGAAAATTTTAAAAATTATGAAGTTTTCGATCAAAATAAGTCCACAAAAACTGTCAAAAAAGATTTCTTTTTTCTCTCAGAAACAGACATGGTTTCAGCTAGTTTTAATATTCCAGATAGAAGGTACAGCTGTACAAATTTTTTTTTTTTTTTTTTTTTTTTCAGGGGTTAGAGGAAGATTCTCCATGTCTAATACATAATACATACTATAGCTTTCCCTGTGTACTAAAATGAAATTCTTAGAAGTAATTTCTGGTCCCACTAGAAAACAAGATGTGCAAATTTACCACAGAACAGAATTGTTCAAATCTAAGATGTCATAAATTTAAGTGCATTTATCAGAAAAGCCTGCAGCATTTTTCAGAAAATTTAGGAAAAGTCTCACTAAAACACCCACTTAACTTAGAATTTAGGTCAACAGCAGCTTTCTGCTGCTGCTGAAGCTGAGGCACAGCTGAGATTAGGGGTACGTAGACTGGAAGTGGTAAATCAGCACAAGGCTCATAGGCAGTGGAGACTCTGTATGTCCAGAAACTTTTAGGTCTTCTGTGTTTGTCCTGAAGTCCTTGTGATTCTCAGAGTAACCCAGGGCAGAGGAGGATGCAATAAGGCATTTTACACTTCTCTGGAGGCTCTAAATTTTGTACCTGTCACCTGAAAGCCTTGTCTTGGGCAGT